GGGCTACAGTCAGATGCGTTTGGGGGCCCTTATTCTGGCCATCACGGTGTTCGATACTGGGTGGGTGGCCGGCTCGGCACACGTGTCCTGGCCGAGTCCTTGCTCCAGGCACACAGTCCCTCTGCTCCAACACGTGTGAGTGAATGAATGGTGGTCTCGTCCCTGCCAGGGTGACAGAGGAGGGGGACCCCTTTCCCAAGAGGCAGACTTAGTCATGCCCTGAAGCTGCCACCTTGCGCAAGCGGCCGCCTCCCTGGGCCTCAGTTTCCCCATCTGTGAAATGGAGGAGAGCTGGGGTTATTTCTGCTGGGGTGGCTGGGAGGAGTGAATGGTGTGCAGTGGGTGCGTGTCAGTGGCAGCCTGTGCTTATTTTTATTTTTCATCCGCCAGCTCAGCACAGCAGGGTCCCCAAGGGGTTGGTCTCCCTGAGATGTGAGAAGGAACTGCCATCGGACCCCTCTGCCACACTGTCCCCTTTAGCGCTCTTCCCTATCCCCAATTTTCACGGCAGTGAGGGCTGGGCTGCCCCACGTCCCTTCCTAGTTTCATTTCTCTTCTGTGTTTGTCCAGGTCCCAATGTTCTGGGGTTGGAACTGTGATGGGCCTGACCCAAGCCACAAACACCCTGTGTCAAGGTCATGGCCAAGGATGTCCCAGTGGGAGGACTGGTGAGACAACAGGATGCAGAACAAAGACACCACAACAGGGACAAGCACCGGCCATGGATGAGGCTACCAAGTAGCTGTGGCTTGGTGTCCACAGGCACTAACCACCCCACTTGGCAAATGGGCTGCTGGTTCAGGTAACAGAGTGGCCTGCTTTTGGAGAACACACCTGGGCATGTTTGGGATAAAGGGGTGTGGGGACAGCAACCTTGCCTGAAATTCCACAGAAACACAGAGAGACAACAAAAGTGGCGAAATGCTACTAATGGTTGCATCTGGGTAAAGGGCACGCAGGGTCCTCTGTGCTATTCTTGATACTTTTCTGCAAGTTTGAAATTTAGCAGCACTCGAAAGGCATCAATCAGTAGAGAATCAAGGTGACTGTGCCCCATGCTGGCCTCCCGGGCTAGTCCTGGCATCAGTCCTGACGGACTCCCCAAGCAGGTGTGGAATGAGGGACCCTTTAATTCTGCGTTAGGATTGTGACTGCTGTGGGGGTAACTGCTCTGTGGGGCTTCGGAGGTTCTTGGGCTGCAGCGTCCTGGGGCTTGGTTTAAATGTGGGTGACTTGAGGGTCCACGTGCATAGAAGTAAAAAAAAAGAAACCAATAAATACCAACAGCCAAGTCAAAAAACAAGTCAATTCCACAAACCAAAACATATTAATTAAAAAGTGAAAAACAAAAATCATAACTCAAAAAGTATCAATAACAAGAAATAAAGTGGAAACAGAGAAATAAAAACCGAAAACCAATAAAGAAAAATAAGAAGGATAAAAAAGTCAAAATATTCATATAAAAGATTAAAAAGCAAACCAAAAAAATTCATAAGCAGATGGTGGCACATTCATATCTGTGGGAACATCGCCAGGTGAGGCGGAGGCCTCCCTGCCCGTTGCCCATTTCTCGCCTGCAGTGTGGGTAAAGGAACTGTTTTCCCCAGCCCCAAAGACCCCAAGGGCCTCTTTCCTGGAGGTCTGATTTGAAGCCAAGTTGGTGAATGTGTGGAGCCACACACCTGGCCCGAGTGACTGCTAATGCTGCTGGCTCCCCAAGTTCAACACAGGTCCTATCATCATCCCCACAGAATTGCCTCACCCGAGAGAACAAAATGAGAGTATCCTAAAGCTCATATGGAAAAATAAATGGGACAGAAAGAATTCTACAAAGGGTCACTTGTCTGAACCAGAGATCAAAACACACCTCAAGGCCACTAAACAAAGAACAGCTTGAACCTGGCAGACGACTAGGCGAGGGAGGGACCAGCTTCCCTTCTACAGGCTTCACCTCCAGAATTCTCTCCACTCAGAGGTTGGAGCTGCTGTGCTCAAGTGACAGGTGGGGAAACTGAAGTGTGAGCAGTCTTCTGCTCAAGGTGGAAACTCAGATGGGTGTGGAGTGTCAGGGAAGCTTCCCCTCTGCCCACAGAACCCCCGGTTCGGTGTGGTGGCAGCTGGAGGGAAGGGTGCTCCGGGCAGAGGGTAGGCACATGCAAAGGCCCAGAGGCTGGAGAGAGCGGGGTCTATGATCACAGTGGCATCTACGGAGGCAGCCTCCCTGGGAGTCCTCTGGGGGTGGGAGGGAAACCCATTGTACAGGAGGACTGACACTCAGAGGGGGTTTCCGTCCTTGTCCTGCTGCATCTGAGGGGAAGCACAACCATGCTGGGGAAGGTCAGGGGGAGGCATGGCCCTGCCCAGACCGTATGAGGGGGCATATGGCTCTGCTTCTTGCACTGGGTCTGAGGGAGGAGGCACGGCCCCGCCCTGGGGGATCTGTAGGGGTCAGGCTCCATACCACCTCCATAATCCACTTTCCAAGGAAATGCTGAGAAAACATGGGAGGCAGCTGTGTCTAGCTGCATTCCTTGGAGAGCCTGGTGGGTGCCCAGGGTCCTGCTGCCAAGCCTGTGTCCTCAGCGGCAGCACCAAGGTGGCCACCAGGCCCGGGAACCTCAGAGCCACTGGATCACACATGGACACTGGCCTGAGCACACAAGTTCTAATGCCACAGCGCAGTTCCGGGGGGCTGGTGGGTGAGGCACCTGATCCAGAGGCCCAATGGCTTGGGGCTGAATCCTGGCCCTGCTGTATGACCATGTTTGAGCCTCAGTCTAACATATGTAAGATGGGGATCTTAATTGTTCCCACATCATAGTATTTGTGGATTGAACTTCAGGCCTGGCACCTACTAGCTCTCAGTTTTATACAAGATCTTGTTCCCATGGCATTTCCAGTGCCCTGACAGGGCCTGGCAAGAGCAGGCACTCAATGACTATTCACATATTCAAGAACCTATGAGCACCTACATACGCAGAGTATTGCATACTGGTAAACTGATCACCCATTGATAACTCCTGGGTTTGCAATGGCAGCGGGAGAAGGGAAGAGGGTACTGGGCAATGTGGTGCAGTAAGAGTTGGGGCTCCCCCAGGAAGGGTCGAGGCAGCTTCCCAAGATGCAGGGGAAAAGAAGGGACAGTGGAAGGGCACTCCCAGCAGAGGCCATGACAGGCAAGGGCCCTGGTGCAGGAACCAGCTTGGCCCATCCAAGGTGTGGGTACTCACATAGGCCCCAGTCATCATCTAATCCCAAGCCCTTGGAGGCAGGCTCTGCTACCTGCCCAGAGAGGTGGAGAGACTTGCTCAGGGTCACAGACCCATATGGTTTGGTAGGATGTGAACACAGACACACTGGCTCCAAGACCTTGTGGGTGGTACCTCACATGCTTCTGTAGAATGAATGAATGCATGTTGTGGGGTGCAGTGAGCCAGGATCTTGGCACAAGAGGCCAGGGGCAAACTGCCCCTCCCTAGACCTGGGTTTCCTGGATTCCCTGTGATGGGTTAAGGTCTGGAATGGCCTGCAATCACCCCTTAGCCTGAAGGGGACAAGATGGTGGCCAGCAGACAAGTCCCTATCCCTAGCCTCTTGACATTCAAGACCCGTATACACAGGCTCCAGTTTTTAATTCCTCAACACATTTACTCCAATGTTCCCTTCTGCAGAACGCCCAACCCCAACCGATTTCTATTTATCCCTCAAGCCCTGGCAACAATGCCCTCTCCACTAGAAAGCCCTGTTTCCCCAGGCGGATCCAGGGCCGACCTAGGGACTCATCCCCCAACTCAGCGTCCTGCAGTTGGGGTGTCTGCATTGAGCTCTGTCTCCCCCAGCCGTGGAGTATTTCAGACCATTTCCGTTACCTGCTGAATCTGTCGTTTCACAGGCTGCATTCCTGCACAGGGTCGCGCACGCAGCAGGTACTCAATGAGTATTCGTTGAGTTGAGTGGATAGACTTAAATGCATCATTGGGCTGGAACCAACAGAAATGATTCCGGTCTGCGCTGGGTGATAATGCAGTTTCTACTGATTAATGTTTTTGGGGTAGGTTTCCTGCTCCCTCCTCACCCCAGAACATCATGGAAACAAGGCCCCGGAAGCAGTCCTCAGAGTCTCTTACTCCTTGGGTCACATTAAGGCACGAAAAGCAGTCCTCCTTCGACCCAGAATCGGGTCTCCTGTCTGCATTTATTCACAGGGTGTATGGGATGCCTGTGCGCCAGGCACTGAGTCCAGCCGGCGACGATATACAAAAATCCCTTCTGCTGTGGAGCTGTCCCTACAGTTTATCAGAAGGAAATAAGTGCTATTGAGGAGAGCGTCTCAAAAGGCGAAACCACTCGAGGCAGAAATCCCTGTGGGTGTCTGGGGGCCGGAGCAACCGGAGGGGGCGCAGCTGGTGCAAAGGCACGGAAGTGACCGCGCCCGTGCCCCCAGGCCCAGGGAGAGCGGGTCTGCGGGACCTACCGCGGAAAGTATAACCCAGACGCGGGTTTTCTGCAGATTTGGGGCAGGGAAGCCGGGATTCCGCCAGCCCCGCGCAGGCCCCGCCCCTCGGCCTCCCAGAAAATGTTCGGTCTGGTCCCGCCCCAGCCCCGCCCCCATGCCCTGAGCCGGGTTGCCAAGGAGACTAGGCCTCGCCTCGTTCTGGCCCCTCCACCCAAGGCCTCTGCGGCCCTGTCTGGCCCCTCCTCTTCCCTCGACCCCTATGCGGGTTGCTAAGGAGACCTGGCCCCGCCCCTCGATCTCCGGGGCCCCGGTTCTGGCCCCGCCCCCGTGCCTTGATGCGGGTTGCCAAGGAGACTCGTCCTCGCCCTGCACTGGCCCCGTGCCCTGCCGGACGCGTAGCTCTGGAGGCGCCCGCATTTAGTATGCCCTTCGGCGGCCACCGTAGCCCGGGCCTCCCCCGCCTTGCGCACCGCCCATTTCGCCCCCGCACTTCCCGCCCCACGCACTGCGTGCCGTGCGTGCCATGCGTGAGCGTACGCGGGCGCGTCGGCCAGCGAGGGAGCAGCAAAGACCAGCGGCGGGCGCCGTGCGGGGGGCTGGAGTAGGTGGCGGTGGCCATGGCCGAGGCGTCGCCGCAGCCCGGACGCTACTTCTGCCACTGCTGCTCGGTGGAGATCGTGCCGCGCCTGCCGGTGAGGCGCGGGCCGGGGCGGCGGGCGTGGGCTCCGTCTCTCGGCTTGAGGCGGACTGCTCGGATGGGGAAACGGGGCGCAGCGGGGCTCGGTGTCCGCCGAGGGCCCCCAGAAGGTCGTGATGCCACATGCGCGGCCTCCTGCCCGGGAAACTAAGACCGGCAGAGGCCGCGTGGCCAGCCTACGGAGGAGCGCGGGCCGTTCTCGGGGAGCGGCCAGCGCCGCGGGGAGGCCGTACCTGGGCTTGCCCGCCACCCGCGGGCCTCTGAGCCGAGCCTGCGGCCCTGCGCTCCCTTGGGTGGGGCTCTCCGGGACCGAGCCTCCCACCTGTCGGTGTTGGCGGCCAGCGGTGGGCCGGGGGCTGCTTGCCAAGGGGCAGTTTCCCAGATCGCTTCGTCCCGGAGGTTCTGAGTAGGTGGGTCTGGGATGGGAGAGGTGGTCTCCGCCTGGTAAGTGGAGCAGCTGAAGCCCAGGGCAGCCGGGCGGTCACGGCCCTGCTCATGGGGAGCAGGAAGAGGAGGGGTGCTTCGGGAGACCCTGCGCCAGGTGACCCGGGAAGGGGCTGCAGGCCTGGAGGCTTTATTGAGCACCTACTGGGTGCGCTCCATGTGTTTCGTTTTCTGTCGGCGCCCTCCCCGCAGTCACCTGGCCGGTGGGCGGTGGAGGCTGGTTCCATTTCACAGCAGGCAGGCCTCTGTCCTGCTTTTCCAGCTGTGGGCTTCCCTGGGAGGAGGGCCTGAGTTCAGGGGTCTTGTCAGTCTTAGAGCAGTGCCTGGCCTGGGAGGAGAGAAAAGGGAGGATGGCGGCTCCAGGGTCAAGGGGTTTCCCCACCCCAGGGGAAGGGCAAGCAAAACGAAACCTCGGGTGTGAGCGCACACTTGGGGCCCTGAGGCTTACCCGGCTCTCACCAGCCTCCCGGAAGTCCTGTTCCTGCCTCTTCCGGCTTCCTGCGCCCCCCAGCTCTTGGGTCTGTCTCTCGACTGTGGCAGGAAGGGGCTTGCTTGCCTGTCAGCCCGCCAGCCTAGGGTAGCTGTCAGCAGCCCCTCGCAGCTGGTGCAGGCTCCGCCAGGTGGCCCCACCAGAGCCTTCTGGAACCTGGGCCCTGGTGGCGCGGGGCGGTCTGCACAGGTTGTTGATTTGAGCCTGCCTTCCTGGGGCCAGGGCAAGGTTTGCGGCCGGGCCAAGTGTGTCCATTTGCTGGCCATGTGGCCTTGGACCAGGAGGACCCTGACCTCTTCCCACAATCATTCGGCTGGTGAGAACCAACCTAGGCACAGAATCCAGTGACAAGGCACCATGGCCTTTGTCCTTGGGGTTGGCAGGCTGGTCAGGGAGCCAGTGGTGAACAAATATTTAGTCAGGAATGTTGGTAAATTCTGAAAGAACAAATACTGGTGGGTAGGGGTGGGAGGATGCCTGCTTGTTGGTAGGAGCAGGCATCTGAGGCCCAACCGGCTGTTTATCAGGAGGGGGCTCACCAGGCGCTCCGGGGGCAGGAAGGTCCCAGCCAGCTCTCACACCCCTAAAACGGGACTTGCGGTCTTGAGCCAGCCCGGTCTTATCTGCTTGGGGTCTCTGGGCTGGTCTGTGCCACTCCCACTCCAGGCCCCACTCCGGGCCCCCAGGCCTGCTCACAGGAGCGTCTCAGCGGGTGGCTCCAGGTGAGGTGCCTGGCCTCCTCCCTGTCAGATGGGTTTGAGGAGGCAGTCCATGCTTGCCCAGTGGGACCTGGTGGCATCCGGTGGGAAGCGTGTGTGCAGGGGAGCCCGGCTTCCTGCTTCCAGGACGCACAGGGAGGAGGGTGGCCCAGCCGGGTTGGGGCAGGAGGAAGCAGGACCCCACAGGCCCAGACTCATCCTTCCCAGTAAACGGAGCCCTGGACACGGCGAATGTGCTGGTTGGGCGGTGTGATTGCAGGGCAGGGGATAGAGGTTAGCAAGGTCCCTGCCGGGGACTGAGCCCCTCACTGCAGGACAGTGCCTTGGCTGACCCTGTTTACAATTGTTCCCGCTTACTGGCCTGCCCGAGTGGAAGCCACCCTAGGTGGGTGGACAGGCACAGGGCCTGGGCACCAGCACTGACACCACCACCACCACCACCACTGTCCTCTGTCCTGGCCTCTCGAGGGGTCTTGGGAAGCTTTGGCCCCTGGTTTTTAGATGGAACCTAGGTCCTCCCCCCCAAGTACACTGGACTCTCTGTCCACCCGACTGCTCTGTGTCATGCTATGCTGGATGCAGTCTTGGTGAGGTGAGGCCCTGCCCCTTCACAGGCAGTTGCAGAAACTGGGCTAGGGGGGCCAGGTGGGGAGCTGGCCCTGGCAGGCCGCTGGGAGCGCAGAGCCTGAGGTCAGGCACCAGGTTGCTGTGAGTGCTTCAGAGAGGGCTGGTGCAGCTTGGTGTGGAGGTCGATGGGTGTGGAGGTGGGCTGAGGCCCAGACAGGTGGCCAGAGACAGGTGAGGTGCTGCACAGAGCCATGCCCTGGGGCACCAGGGCTGCTGTGGCCCCCAGCATAGTGGGCATGCATGCTGCCTCATGGGGGATGGTGGTGGGGGGCGGTTCAGAAGGTGTCCATTAGTGATGTGAGGGACTCCGTGGGTGCAGGGAGCAGTGAGGGCAGTCCTGGGGGTCTGGTCGCATCCACGTGCCTCCTTGCACCTCTACTCTGGCCTCCCTGGGTCTTCCCGAGGGTGTGAGGCCATGCAGGCCCTGGGTCATGGGTCACGTGGGGCCAGTGGCTCTCCCAGTCAGCTTCCTGACCCAGCCCTGGGCCTGGCGGGGCAGAGTGAAGGGTGGCGCCCTTCCTCAGAGGGCCAGGGCGTGGGGCAGGGTGCTCCCTGTCACCGAGGAGAGGCCAACATGCACCTCCTGGCAGACAGTTCGGTATTGAGTGGGCTTAGGGGCACGGTGCTCCTCTGCCGCCCCGTCCCGGTGCTCTGGCTGTGGTGGCGCCCTGGTGCTGGTGCTGGTGCTGGTGCTGGGTGGGCCCATAGCTGCTCTGAGTGGTGAGGCGAGTGATGCCCAATGAGGAGCCATCAGCCAGGAGGGGAGCTTGGACGCCGGCTCCTCCATCAGCCACTCTGATTTACCCAGAGCATCTGGGATGTGCCCTCCGACAGGGACAGCATTGGAGACCCCCGACCTGGTCCTTCCACACAACTTGCAGGCCTGAGGCCCACATGGGGCCGAGGGCACGGAGGCAGGGCTCTGAGCTCGGCCAGCAGGGAGCCACATCCCTGGGTCCTCGGCGGCTGCCTGGGCTCGAGGCCGTCCTCCGTTTACAGGTGGGAGACCGAGGCTTGCATCCAGGAAGTGTCATTTGAGCAGAGACCCGACTGCCGCGAGGGGGCAACCAGGTAGCTATTGGGTGCTCCGTGGGGGGCTGTGTCAGGCCTTGAGAGGGCAGAAAGTGGGAGCAGAGCAGCCAGGTGGGGGCTCCGTGCTGGCCCGGCTCTGGGAGACACCCGCAGGTGGCAGTGGGACTTAACAGGAAGAAGAGGTTTCCTGCTTCCCCCGGAGTCGGTGCTGCTCTTGTCTCTCCCCGGCTGGCCTGGGGAGGGTGGGGGACCCGGCGGGCTGTGTGCGCAGGCAGGAGATGGCTTCTCACCAGGCCCTCCGGGCCCCGGCCCAGTCAGAGAGAGAGGAACACATCCGACTTAAGGTTCCTCTGTGGGGGGACAGGGGCGGGTTGTGTGCGCCCAGACCCTGTGAGAGCCTGGACCGCCCTGCAGGCCCCTGGATAGTCTGGCGCCTCGCTGGGCTTAGGGGTGTCTGCTTCCCGTGTCCTAACCCAGCTGTTGCACATGCCCCTGCATCCACGTTTGCCCATGTCCATAGCCCTCCCCGGGGCTGCACCCTGTGGGAGAACCCCAGCCCAGTCACAGCCTCACGTGGTGTCTTCCATGCCATGTGACACATTGAGCTGAACAGTGGCTATGGGCTGATGGGAGGGTGTTAGGAGGGCTCCTGACACCCCAGTCCCATGACAGCTGTGTTGGTAACACACTGCCCCTTGCCCCCATACCCCTGTTCTGGAGGCCAGAGGGCTGCTGTCCGTGTGTTCCTTGGAGCATAAGACACAGCCAACCCATCTAAAGCAGCTTGTGCCCTCAGTGTCCCACCCACTTCTGTCCATTTCCAGAACGTTTCATCCCCCAGAAGTAGCCCCATCTCCATATGAGCAGTACCCCCAACCCCTTCCCATCCCCTGGCACTCACAAGCCCATGTTCTGTCTGTGAATCCACCTGCTGTGGACATTCCACAGAAATGGGGTCACACCGTGTGACCTTGTGTGTCTGGCGTCTCACTGAGCACCGTGTGTTCAGGTCCCGTCTACATGTAGCGTGTCAGGCACACACTCCTGTTCATGGCTGCATGGTGCTGTACGTGTGGTTGGACACATTTGACCATTGACGGACACTCAGGTTGATGCCACCTTTTGGCTGTTGTGAGTTGTGCCACATGCGTGTGCAGGTTTCCGCATGGGTGTGCGTTCACACATGGCTTAGGTACACACCCAGCCATGGAGCTGCAGGGTCCTATAGGGATTGCATGTTCAGCTTTTTGAGGAACTGCACCACTATTTTCCCAAGAAACCCCCCGTTTCACATTTCCAGCCACATGCTGAGGATTTTGACTCTGCCTCCTTGACAGCACTTGCTACTGGCAGGTGTGAAGTGGTGACTCTCTGGTTGGATTTGCACTTCCTGGTTGCCTAATGGTGGCAGCATCTCTACGGGTTAATTGCCATTCGTGTATCTTCTTTGAAGCAATGTCTATGCTCATCTTTTGGCTGGTGTTTAAGTGGTCTCTTTGTTGTTGAGGTGTAAGAGCTCTTTATATATGTTGGGTGTAAGTCCCCATGCCCTGGTCAGCTCCTGCCTGCCCTCCCCACTCACCGCTGGTGGTGTTTTTTGACCCCTAGCCCCACCTTTGCTTTGGGCAGCGGGGCAGTTGAGGACATGGTGTGCACAGCCATGGCACCACTGTCCAAGAGGGTCCCAGCCCTCAACAGAGGAGGTCCCTGCAAAGGGCAGCCCAGCTCCCCTCGCCTTAAACAGCCTGCTGCGGAGGCCCCTCCCCACCTGCCCCTCCCCACGGCCTGCAGGTGGGGTGGTGCCTCTACAGGTCACCATGGCAGAGGCAGGCTTGGCTTCCATCTTGGAGACACCTGTAGACATGTGTGTCCCCAGCCACCCACCTGGTGACATGCCTGACTAGCAGGGGTGGGCCTGGGCTTGTTTTGGGAAACCACAAGCAGGGGCCTTGGCCTACTTGATGGACACTCAGGTTGATGCTTCGGCTGTGCGGGGTCATGGCCGCTGCCGGTGGGGTCGCCGTTGCAGGCCGTGAACCCAGGCTTCCGGAATGTTCCAGAACAGCGCTATGGGGTGTCCACAGGTGAAGCGTCTGCCTGAGTGTGGTTCCCATTCCCTCTGTCTCCTTGGATCCCCACAGACAGGCCAGGTCTCCAGTACTGCATGTGGGCAGCTCAGTGATCTCAAGTCATGCAAGGGCAGCGGGGGTCCAGCCTGGCCAGGCGGTGGCCTGGGAGCTGGGGCTCAGATCCCTGACCCACAGGTAGTGGCCGTGGTGACCAGCTGACCTTGCGGATCTGGCCCTGGACTTCACAGATGGGGCCTCGTGCCGCGTTGGCTGCGGTGGTGGGCCGGCCCGCGCAGGCCTGTGATCACGCGCTCTGGTCTTCCCCCAGGATTACATCTGCCCAAGATGTGAGTCTGGCTTCATTGAGGAGCTCCCAGAGGCATCCAGGTAGCGCCCCCCCGTGCCGGCTTGGACCCCGCCTTTCGGGCAGGGGTGGGCTGCGCCCTCAGGCGGTGGGGGCGGCTCCTTTCAGGGTCCTCGTTCCGCTGACCCTGAGCCCTAGGGGTGGCCGCACGTTCTGGCTTCTCGCGCAGCCGGACGACCCCACCGCCGGCACTGTGCCCTTGCAGGAGCGCAGAGAACGGCTCCGCCCCCTCCACGGCCCCCGCGGACCAGAGCCGGCAGCCCTTCGAGGTGAGTGGGCCTGTCCCCAGGCAGCGCCACGTGCGGGGCCCCACCGCGCCCCACCCCCCAACCCCGCGGGGCCGCCGCCTCTTCCTGCGCCTGACATACGCTGAGATTTCCCCGGGCCTCCCCATCCCCGCGGAGCCCTGGGCCTGGGACCGTGCCCGTGGTGCGCGGAGGAGGCGGGGGCCGCGCAGGGAGCACGGCGGCCGGCTCCTGCCCCCTCACGGCGCCTCTCCGCAGAATGTGGACCAGCACCTGTTCACACTGCCGCAGGGCTATGGGCAGTTTGCTTTCGGCATCTTTGACGACAGCTTCGAGATCCCCACGTTCCCCACCGGGGCGCAGGCCGAAGAGGGCAGGGACCCCGAGAGCCGGCGGGACCGGGAGCAGCACCCCCGGCACCGGTACGGCGCCCGGCAGCCGCGCGCCCGCCTCTCTGCGCGGAGGGCCGCTGGCCGGCACGAAGGCGTCCCCACGCTCGAAGGGTGAGGGCCGGGCCGGGGGCTCGTGTCCGCTGAGGGCCCGTCCGTCGTCTGTCCCCCCCGGGCATTTCCCTCCGAGGCCGGTTCGGGCGGGCAGTGCAGGGGGTCACCAGTGCATCTGCATGCTGCCCCGGAGGGCGTCTCCCCACGGACCGGCCGCTGTTCACCACTCGCGGCCGGCACCCTCAGGGCCACTGCCGGGAGCAAGGCCGTCCCCGCAGCCCCAGGGCCCCCGGCCTCCCAGTGTAACAGGGTTGAGTGGGGCTGGAGGGTTGGCAGGCACCGCGGAGGCCGCAGGGAAGCACTTCCGGCCCCTCCCACCCAGGGTTCTCTCTCCCCGGGAATCTGTTAAAAACACAGCCTCTGGCTGCAGCGAGCTTAGAAGCTGGACGTGGGCTCCCTGCTGGTGGGGGGGCTGACCACATCCCTCCTCTGCACCAGGATCATCCAGCAGCTGGTCAACGGCATCATCACTCCTGCCGCCGTCCCCAGCCTGGGCCTGGGCCCCTGGTGAGTAGGTGGGCGGGCGTCCCTGTCCCTGCCCAGCCCCTCCGCCACCTGAGCCTCAGGTCTCTCTGCCCAGGGGCGTCTTGCACTCAAACCCGATGGACTATGCCTGGGGGGCCAACGGCCTGGATGCCATCATCACGCAGGTATGGCCAGCCTCACTGGCAGGCGTGGGCACTAACACCTTTCCATCTGGTGGGGGCTGAGAGGGTGCAGTTCCCAGGCCCCTCCTGCTGTGGACAGCCTGCTCCCCATCTCCAAATCCCATCCGGAGGCCAGGGCGCCCCAGCTGTGCACGCATCCCTGCCCCCCGGTGCTCGCAGGCAGAGTGCTGCTGCTCTCTCGGCCTTGCTGCTGATGGACCGCTTGAGCGTTTTGTCGCTGGCGGGACTGGCCCTGCAGCTCCAGCTGGTGAGGGGCCTGGGAAGGAACCCTAGGTGGGCCTGGGTGCTGACCTCTGACCTCAGTGGGGCCAGGCACCAGGACAGATGTGGCCTGGGTGCTCCTGTGGGTAACCTAGTCTTTCAGAGCCGTGTGGGGCGAGGCTGCCCCTGCCCACTGCCCCAGCCTCACTCTGGCCTTTGTCTTTCAGCTTCTCAATCAGTTTGAAAACACAGGCCCCCCGCCTGCAGACAAGGAGAAAATCCAGGCCCTCCCCACCATCCCTGTCACCAAGGAACACGTGGGTGTGTGTCTGCTGCCTGCCTTTCAGGCGATTCCCCAGGGCTTTGTGGTCAGCCGGGGGCACAGCTGCCCCCGTGGGTGCAGGGTGGCCAACTGGGCAGATCCCCAGGGGCAGCTCTGGTTGGAGCTGCAGAGAAAACCCCCTCCCCAAGAGCCCGGGCCGCTGGCAGTGGTCAGGGGCATCACAGGCTACCTGCCCCACAGGCTCTGGGCTTGAGTGCCCTGTGTGCAAGGACGACTATGCACTGGGCGAGCATGTGCGGCAGCTGCCCTGCAACCACCTCTTCCATGACGGCTGCATCGTGCCCTGGCTGGAGCAGGTGAGCGGGCGGGCCACCCCAGGGACCCCCTGCCCCGCCGCCTCTGAACCGCTCCCCTCTCCCCTCTCCCCACAAAGCACGACAGCTGCCCTGTCTGCCGAAAAAGCCTCACAGGACAGAACACAGCCACCAACCCCCCGGGCCTGAGTGGGGTGACCTTCTCCTCGTCCTCGTCCTCATCCTCGTCCAGCTCGCCCAGCAACGAAAACCCAGCAAACAGCTCCTGAGTCCCCTGCCAGACCCTAGAGTAAAACCAGGACCCCACCCACCTCAGCCCTCACACGGCCGCGGTGCCCATGGACTGCAGCCCGGCCGCGGGCAGAGGCCCAGCCGACCTGCTGCCTGCAGGCTGCAGGGGAAGCTTGGCCTCCCCAGGGACGCCCCGCGCTGGGGACCGGGCACAGCGGGGCACAGGGGCACATGGCCCTGGAGCATCTACAGCTCCTGTCCTGTTTGTGTCTAACTTCACCCCCTATGTGTTCAACAGTGGAAAGGTTTTTATAATTTTAAATTATTACCGCTTTGAAATAAATGGACATTTTAGCTTACACGGGGCCCTGCATGATCTCTGGAAAGACCAGGTCCTGGCGCCACCCTGACAGGCCACCGTCCCCACCTTGAGCGCAGGAGTTCGGGGCCGCAAGATGACCAGCAAAACAAGAACAAACTGCTCCGACAGATGTTTTTTAAAGGAAAAAATATGTGTATCTTGAAAGCTATTTAAAAATATACCTACTTAGAGAAGCAGGTGGTTGGCGTTTTCCTTCTGTGCTGGTGCATGGCGAGGGCGGAGCCGCACTGCTCCCCCGGGGTCTGGGCACCTTGTGGTTGTGCCTCACGGCGTCAGCCAGCTCAGCGCTGCAGACCTGAGCCCTGCGAGTGGATGCCCAAGCTTAGGGTACGAGGCTGCCCCCCGCCGTGCCCACCGGGCCAGTGGCGTGGGCTGCTCAGGAATTCAGGGTCACCCAATGACCCCAGTGACCATCCTGTCCCTTGAACGAGTACCTCTGACACCCTGTATTTTAAGGGACAATTGGTGGCTAGGGAGCCCCACCCCCAGGACTGTCACCTCCCGCAGCATAATGTCCTACCTCAGCCTGGGCTCAGCTCCACCCTTGCTTCCCGCAGCATTTCAAGCCGGCGACGGGCCTGCAGGCTGAGGCAGGCCCTTGGCGGGTGGTGGGCCCGGGTACAGGGTGCCCTCTGCAAACCCTGCCCGTCCTCTAGCGTGAGGCGCTCCAAAGACGGATTCTGATGGCTTCAGATTCCTCGTGCAGGTGTTCCTTCCCCAGGCTGCTGTGCCTGATCAAACAAGGTGGCCCAGCCCAGCCACACGTTCATTCTCTCAGGTCTCAGGTTCCAAGGCTGGGGCCCCACACAGGCCTCACGCCCCCAAATCTGGGTGGGGAGGGCCGGCTCCTCCAGGGACCTTGGGAGAACCGTGTCCCCCTCTTCCAGCTTCTAGAGGCGCTGGAGCCTCGGCTAAGGGCCCCTCCTCCATCTGCAGAGCTGCGCCTTCCCGACTCTCTGACCCTGGCCCCCTACCCACCTCATAGGGACCCTTGTGAGGACCCTGGGCCCCCAGGAATCCAGGTTCACTCCCATCTCGGGCCTTGACCTGATCCTCTCTTTGAGTCTCTCTGCCATGTGAGGGGACATGTGCACAGGTCCTGGGACCAGGACCTGTCACCTGTGGCGCATCCATGTTGCCCTCTTCCCCAGACCCCAGGCCCGCTTGTCCACCCCAGCCTCCCCCCACCTCGCTGCCTCAAACACTCCAAGGGGTGCCCACCTCCAAGCCTTGAGCCTTGCCAGGGTCGTGTCTGGCCCAGGGTGGTGACCACATGGCCACACCCTTCAGTCTCCAGCCTGGGAAGTGCCTTCTTGGGGCCTCTGCAGCCCCGACTGGTGACTGGGTACCCATGATGGCTCAGCTCTGTCCAGCGCCCCTCAGACTCAGATGGGGCTTCCTGAGGGCCGTCTGGGATACACAGCAGGCTCTTGATGCTATCACAAGACTACCAACCGGACACGAGCATGGCCACACCTGGACTCCCCGCCTCGGGTGGGCTCCCTCCAGGGCCTCAGGAGACCAGGACCGGCAGGAAATGGCTGGACCGGTGGCGCTGCCGCATCCGGCCGCCGCACCGCACTGCGGGACGCCCCTCCCATCCAGCGCCAGGAACATGGGCAGGTTGTGGTGCCAGTGAAGCGAGGTGTACGTGTTGTAGTCATTCTCGATGCGCTCCCAGAAGCTGCAGTGGACAGAGCAGACCCGCTGTGGGGGTTGGACAGTGAGGCAGGCAAAGGACCCCCCTGCCCACCTACAGCCCTGCCTGCACACTCACTGACCCATAGAGGCAGCCCCGGCGGCTCACGGCCACGTAGAAGTGCACGGCCTTGAGGGCCATGGCGCCCACACAGACCAAGTGGACCTCAAGGATGCCTGTGGGAGGAGCTGGGTCAGGGCCCCCCACCACCCTCTGGCCGTGCTCTCACCCAGCCACTGAGCTGATGTGCACCAAGCACAGCCCCGGGTGTGGGGGACACACAGGAGCTGTCCCGGCCAGTGTGAAGGCCTGTGGTGGGACTGGCCCTAGCAGGACGCAGGAAGCAAGTGGGGCGGAGTCTGGCCTTTGGGGGGCGCTGGGAGCTGCCGCAAGCTTTGGAGCAGGTTGGGCCCCATTAGGTGCCCAGGAGGTGCTGCCCGCCCGTCCAGCACCCTACCAGAAGGAACACGCAATGAGGGTCACCGATGCAGACCCCTAGCGGTGCCCATGCGGGCCACACGCTGAGCCGACGCGTCCTGTCCTTCGAAGCAGGCTGGGAGATGAACCGCCCCTGTGCACTGGGCCTGATCTGGAGTCAAGGCCTTGCCCTCTGGTCTTCAGTCCAGACTTGGATGCCCCAGGCGACCAGGAGCTCATGCCATGCTCCACGGGGCCTTTGTGTCCGCAATGTCTTGGGGGGCACCCAGCTCCCCTTGTGCACCACCAGCCCCTCCCCTCTACACAGGGCTCAACTCCCAGGCCTTCCAGGAAGGTGCTACCCCAAACATCTCCCTGCTTCCACTTCTTGTGACCCCTATGTGACCCCCCTAAAATGACCATGTCACTTGCTCACTAACGGCTTTACCTCCTGCTCTGAGCCCCATGAAGGCGTGCTGTCCTGGCCGCTACTGTATCCCTTATGTCCAGCACAGCAGACAAGAGGTGCCCAGTGAATAACCACCGAATTCATGAAGGAGAGACATGCTCCACCCCGCAGAACCATCCACCGCCTGCCCTCCTCATCACTGCCCACACGGGGAAACGGGGGCTCAGAGAGACGAGCCGCCGCACCCTCGGAGCCAGGCCCCACACGCAGCCCAAAGCCGCCCTGCCTGGCCGAGCCCATCACCCGCCGAATGGCCCTGCCCGGCCCCCCACGGCTGCCCACCTCTGCCCAGCTGAAGACCTGGGGGTCCCCAGATGAAGGCAGCAGGGTGTGATGATCTGTCCTAACGCGGGTGCTTCAGGCAGTTCCCCTGTCCAGGGCTCAGAGCTGCAGGGGGTGCCGGGCAGGCCACAGGGTCGCCACCACCCAGCCTCCCAGCCGTCCTCAGCCTCCTCCTCCTCTAATCCCGGTGCGGCAACCACTCACTGAGCGCCTACTGTTTGCTGGATGGGGCAGCAGGGACCATGACCCCAACCCCACGTGGTTCTGGAGGGGAGCCCCAGAAGCACCCCCAGCCGCGCCCTCGGGCAGGTCATCTCCCCTCGCCATGCCGCAGCGCCCTCATCTGCCAGGTGTCTATGAAGAGACATCAGGGTCCCCAACTCAGGTGGGTCCTGAGCTTGGCTTTGCAGAGCAGGGAGCCCCGGGCTCAGACCCCAGCTCCGCCCCCACCCATTATGAACCAGGCCCGCCCAGACCCCTCACAGAACCTCTGTGAATGGCGACCCCAATCTCAACCACTCGGCCAAGGGCCTTCTCTGCCGCCGAGCCCGGCCTGGAGCTCGGCTCCTCGGTGACCTCTGCCTCGACCGTCCAACCTTCCCAGCCTGCGGTTCGGTCCCATTTTACAGTTGGGGAAACCGGGGCCCCGGGCGGGAACTGACTTGGCAGCCCCACACAGCCGGAGCAGCTTCCCGGGCGTCCCTCTAGGGCGGCAGCAGCGCCCAGCTCACCCTTATTATGACTTCTCCCGCTGCGCTACTGTCTGCCCTATGCCCGCCCCCGCAGCCCGGGCAGTCCCGCGCCGACTCACTGCCAGGCCTGTGGCGTCGGCGGGTGCCCTGCACGCGGCCGCTGGGGTGCACACGCCAGGGCACTTCGCCCTCCAGGTGCGGGTAGCTGCGGGGTCTCCGCGGGCTGCCTGGGGCCCCCGCGGCGCCCGGCGCGTGCGCGAGCAGCAGCCACACCAGGACCAGCCACAGGCGGCCGGGCACGGCCCGCGCCCCGCTCGCCGCCAGCTCTCGCCTCCCCGAGCGTCCGCAGCTCTACCCTCGTGCGGCTGGGGGCGGGGCGCCCGCGCCGGCCAATGGGGCGGCTCGTGGGCGGGGATTCTGGGGGCGGGGCCCTCGCGTACGCGCTCCTGCTTCCGCGCGGGTTTGTCCGTCTTGCGGGGCTGGGACAGAGAGAGGGTTGGTCTGCAGGGGCTGCGGGGCCGTGCGTACGCGAGGGGCGGGCCGCAGGGACACGGAGGGAGACGGGGAGATGGACAGAGATAGACAAGAACAGACACACCAAGATGCAGAGATCGAGACAGTCGGGGAAGGACGGCTAAGAGAGACAGGAGATGCAGAGAGACAGAGACAGATATGTGAGAGACAGAGAGACAGAATAAGTTGGGCAGAGACAATGGGAGAAACTGAGCCACCAGGGGTCAGCGGTGGGGTCAGAAGTTTTGGCCCGAGAGGCTGTCGGTGTCAGCCGGCTCCTTGGCCGAGCACTCCGGGCGACTGGCCCGTCTGCCCTCCGCACAGGTGCTTCCCGGCGGGGGTATGGGGCCGCTTCGCTGTGGGGTGGGCGTGGGGAATGCGGGGCTGCAGGGAGCAGGTGAGCGTTGGGGCGAGTGTGCATGCGGGTGTTTGGATGGGTAGGTGGCCGGGGAGTGGGGGCTGCAAAGGTGTGGTTGGACACGCGGGCATGTCCATGCCAGCCGACGAGGACACAGATGAGGACCAAGGCCAGCACTCTGTCCACAGCGTCTGGCCCACACATGCAAGGTGGTAGGAATGGGATGGCCCCATTTACACCCTCACGTGCTCATTTACAGACACACCCAAGCCCCACCGGGAGCCACCCTGAGCCCTGGGCCCTGAGAGGTGAGTGAAGGGAAACTTCACAGCCTCAGAACAAAGAGGCGTCGTAGGCAGGTGGGGAACTCTGGGTCTGAGAGGTCAGCAACCTACCCAGGGCCCCCCACTGGATGCATCTCAGGCTCTGACCCCTGCCCCTTGGCCCTAGGTGGGCCTTTTAAATAGCACCAGGGGGAAGACAAGGTGACAAGCCTGCCCTAGTGGAGGACTGGAGGGCTAATCGGTCGAGCCATACACTGGGATTACCCAGGAAGGGCCACCCAGCGGGTGTGGCAGACACCTGAGCCCCAGGACCTTAGGACTGGGATGGGGGAGTTTGTCCTGACGGCATGGGTCCAGCCTGACCCATCTCCTCAAAATCAGAGCCCTGAGACCAGCACCAGAGAGACCCTGCATGCATGTGGACCTCCCAAGCCTCCGTTTTCCTCTGAAAAAATGGGC